ACTTCTGCTTCAGTTGTACGCGAACGCCAGTTCCAAACTTGTAACTTTTTTTTCAAATAGGAAGAAACAAGGTATGGGCATGTGAAGAAACAAAAACAATGAGACCTGAGCCGTGGATAAGTAGCTTGTTTTGTCTTTCTTCTCTTGACTCGTCTTCCACAATTCTCCAATTCTATCTCCCCGCATCCTATTCCTAGCTAATTGACTTGTTGGGCAGTTTTTCCTTTTCTAAAACAATTTTAAAGATGAGCTTGAGCTCTTTTGAATCCAAGTTCGTTTTATTTGAGGATTTGCTCAAATTCATTTAAACATGATCCTACATAAATAATAAATCTTAACTTAATTCAAATACCATAAATACATTATGTATCACAAATTAAAAATGTTCTAATCGGAATGACAACAATAAAAATTCAAACAATCCTCTCAATAATTGAGCTTTTAAGTAAGTTCCATGTCTAATAACATATATGTTTTTCATTTTGTATATGTTGGATTTAATGGGATACCCATAATTAGAGATGTATAAATAATCAATTCGATGTTAAAATTTTAATAATCAAAAAAGTTTAAATTGCTTAATAAAAAACTAAATCAAAATGTTATTGTAACAAAAATCGAACGAATCGTAGGCCGAATCATTATGATTGATTCAGTTGATTTTTTGGAAACCTAAACTAGATTTCTAATGATTATGCCAAAAATTTTTTTTAGAGATTGTACCAAAATTTATGGCTGTAGTTGTGACACTTCATCCATTTCATATTTCTAACAAAGGTTCCTGGCTTTGTCGTTTACAACTCTTTCTTTAAGCTTAATTTGGAACATAACCACCCCTCTTACCCATATTTAATTAATACATATTTGACAAAATAATAAAAAATTATTAAATTATTTTTAAACATTTAAATTAATTTTTATTTTTTACTACATTCAATTAAATTTTTATATTTTTATTTTAAGTTAAATAAGTCTTTATGATTAATATTTGACTAATTATAACTAGTTAAAATATTATTTAATATTTTACATTAATGTGGAAGGTAAAAAATATCACATGGTAATATCATCATGTCACACCATGTCATGTCATTATCTATTACGAAATGTCAATATACCACGTCAACATCACATGGAATGGAATGACAAGTGATATTTTAATTAAATTAACTATTATTCATAAAGGTATAAGAGTTTATTTGATTCAAAATAAAAATAAAAATATAAAAATTTATTTGATTCAAAATAAAAATATAATAACTTAATTGAAGGTAATAAAAAAATAAAAATTGATTTGAATTTTTTTTAAAAGTTTAGAGAATTTTTTAAGTATTATGCCTATATATTTTCCCTTGAAAAAACTTAAAAGTTCGTTAGAAATGATGAACTTTGAAGCCGAAAAATGACTCTTTTCAAGTAAAGGCTTTCTCATAGAAAATTAAAACAATATATGTTAGTCATAAGCCTTGTAAAACTAATTTTATTATTTATTAAATAAATAAATTATTTTCTTAATGACTACTTTCAAATATATTATATATGTTTTAATGGTATTTTATTTATTATGACACATATGATATGATTATAAATTATTTGATGACATTGTAGAAATATTATACTAATAGTTGATGAACTATTAAGCAAAGAGTCATAATTCTTCAGTTCCTTGTTTAGTAATATTGTTTTAGCCAATAAATTTGACAAAATGTTTAAAGTCTATACTTATTGTGTTTGTATCAAAAGATTAACTCTGTTATTATGAGAATGACCTTAAAACAAATAAATGAGTGTAGTGTATGAGATACATACATTGAACTGGTCAAACTTTGCTTCTCTAAGATGTTCTTTATACTCTAGATATTTAACCAAACTTATTTTTGGTTATTACCATGTTAAGCTTAGATTTTACATTTGCCTTTGAGAATAGTAAAGTTGTGATTTGCTTAGGAAGAATTTATTATGGTTATGATTTATTCAAGATGGTTCAATTATTTTAGGCATTAATAATTTTAGCTATAATAATGTCAATGATTCTATTTCTTTCATTGCTACTCATGATAATGTTTACAACCATTATATAAAATGGTATGCTAAATTAGGCCATATTAGGCAAAACTAAATGAATAAATTAGCTAGAGAAGGCCCACTCGTTTAATTGTCTTTGTCAACCTATGAACATTGCCTTACTTTAATAATTTTACTATCAACTAACATCTTATACACTATGATTGCAATTACGCAGGTGGAGGGCAAATGATGACGATACTTGTCATTCGAGAGGGGATAAGGCCCAATTCAAGGAAGAGATACAGGTGATGGAGGACTGGATTATATGTCGGGTTATTGACTTCTTCTTCGGACAAGTATGGACTTTTGTCTTCTATTATTTTTTTTTCAGCACAATTAATGATGTTCTTGAGTTGTTTTTAGGGTTTACATATTTGTTGTTCTAATTTCTCTCATTTTATAAGGTCAATCTACAGTTGAACATGATTGTGTGCCCACCAATTATGACAATGACCACAGGGTTGATGTTATTGGCGACGGTGTTGCTACTGTTGTAGGGGTTGATGATCATGGTGAAAAAGACGATGTCGGTGTGGAGCAAGGTGTGGGAGGTGTTGGCAACCACAAGGCATGTGGTAAAGAGGTAACTCATGCAAATCTACCCATAGGTGCCAAACAACTCCAAGTGGTCCTTTGCAACTCTCCCACTTACAACACAACTCCTCAAACCCCACATCCACCTTGGGTGCAAACCACACAACTGGCTCATACTACGTTTACATCAGACTTGACTGACATCTAACAATTGGTCGGTAATCAAATTGATGAGACTGAACATGCCTGACAGAGGATGAACAGCAAATATCTTAAGCAACCCTTAACATCTCTCTGAATTTCAACAATTTCAAACAACACCAAACGCCATTTAACAACAAAATCGTAAACTACATTGTCAAGCAGTATGGCATTCAAACAACAAAACCCATTAAAAACACAAAAAAAAAATTCAACATTCACTAACTTACCATTTGTTACGAACTTGTTTGCTATGATTAATTACTTTGCTTTGAACTTTGTTCAAACACTTTCCTAGCTTTGGGAATGAATCAAATGGTCATTCAATATACCTGCTGTGCAACATACCTAGCATTTAGGGTTTAGATGAATGTCAGAAACATCTTCTCGTGTAATATGAAGAGGTTTTTTTTTTTTTCAAAAAGTCAAGTAGCAAATTGTGGTCAAATAAACCCAAGCTGAGGAGGTAAGGGAAGGGCAGTTTATACTTGAATTCTATAAAATAAGAGTTTCCTTTGGTACAGCTATGCTCAACAAGCCATTACAAGAACCTAAAAGTACAAGACAATGTTTTGAAGAATGCTTTTTCTCAGCCTATGTC